CTCTCTCTCTCTCTCTCTCTCTCTCTCTCTCTCTCTCTCTCTGAGCCAGTACTCCGTTCTGAGCACAACTTTGGCTGATGTATGATTGGAAAGTAGATGGCAATGGTTTACCCTTGATGGGATTTTCTTTGGCAGGACCCCTCCCACTGTACAGATTTTCTTTTCTTGTTCGTTATTGCTATTTTTATTGCATTCTCTGGCTCCTAATGGGCATTTGCTCATTTGGGAGGAAGTAAATTCCACTGACTAATTCTCATCTATGAATTAAATATGAAGGTGCCTCACCTTAAATTACCATTCCAAAGCTGTGGCTCGCATCGCACTTCCTCCCCTCCGTGCCTCATCGGGAAAAGAAAACAAGCCACAAAGCACAAAGTGCCATGTCCGTTTGGTAGCCTCCCACCGAGTCTCACAGTCACACCAGGGCAGATGGTGCCAGAGTGTTTGCATCTTGGTAAAATGCTAATTGACTCGTTGCCTGGCTGATGGCCCTGCCTTTGGAGGGGGTATGGAATATTTTTCTGACCTGCACATCTTATAAGGTCATTCTACCAGATACTTTTCATGTCAAATCTGTGCACTTAAAAGAGTGTGCACCTGAGCCAAGCCAAGCCTGAGATATCATGAAATATGGCTATCATTATTCACTGCGTTTCCATAGCCGAAGCTCTCTGGCAGTTCACCACATTAAGTCACCCATCCAGGTCCCAACCAGGCCCATCCCTGCTTAGCTTCCAAGATTAGGCAAGATCAGGCCCTTCAGACTATATGGAAGCTGGCTGTGTGCCAGTCAAGTTCCAGATGCTGAGAGAGAGATGTCAGTTTTCGATTCCTGTTGACCTGAAGTTCCTTATACCTCCTATTAAGCTCAAAATAAAACCTGCAATGGGTGAGGAGTCCCCCTGCCTAGGCTCACCAGCCTCCCCTGCCTTTGGTGCACCCCCACAACACCCCCTCCCTAGAGCCATACCAGGGCATTCTTCAATGGCTGAGAAGCAGCCTTGCTCAGTCCTCAGCCGACTGCAGTCAGCCCAAGAGCCCTGACTCCAACACCTCCAAAATTTACTTCGCCTTTGAATTGCTTCTGGAAGGCAACTGATTTTCTATCAAATCCAAAGGGAATGGTTAAAAGTGTGGGTGGGATTGGAAGTGAATCGAAGGCCTGTGGGCAGAGAGCAAACAGCTGCTTTGCACATGGTCCGGAAGCATCGGCTGGTCGAAAATGGAGCTGTCCTCCTGCCCATGGTGGGGGAGAGATTTGGGGAGGGAGCCCCCTCCTGCGCAGCTCCCCTTGTCCCCAGTGTCCTCCCAGGCCCAGTCCAAAGTGACGGTCTTAAGCTTTCTCATGCATTATTATTATGTATTACATTTATGTCCTGCCCCTTTTCCTTTCAAGGAACTCGGTGTGGCTTACATAATCCCCTCCTCCTCTCAACCTTATCCTCACAACAACAGCCCTGAGAGGTAGGCTGGGCTGAGAGTCTGTGACTGCCCCAAGTCACCCAGGGAACGCCATGGCTGAGTGGGGCCTCGAACCCAGATCCACTGAGACCCAGCACACTGGCTCTTTAAAGGGAATCTTGCCCCCTATCTTGGGGGTAGGGGGTAGGGTTGGTAACCTGGTGTCCCCCAGATCTTGGGGTGGCAGTTCCCATTGCCCTTGACCGCTGGCTAAGCTGTCTGGGCTGATGCAAGTGCAGTTTAAGAGATTCTGTTTTTACAACCTTATGCTAAACAGTTCCAGATCATGTTATTTAAGGGGTCACCATCTCCCAGTTAAGCCCCCCAGCCTTCTGAATTGGCCTGTCTCCTTTCTGGCCTTCCAGCCATGTTTATCAGGCTGGTGGCCAAAAGTTGTAGGCCTTCTCAGTGACGGCTCCCTCCTTGGAGAACTCCTTGTCCGAAGGAATTGGTTCGACCATTTTTGCAGTGTGTCTTAATATAGTTTTCAAGGCACAGTTATTTGCCGTTACTGATTGCACTGACTTTTAAGCTAGTTAAAAAAAAAAACGTTTTGCTGGTCTTGTTATGTTAATGTTGGTTTTAGAGGGTTTGATTTTGTTATTATTTATCTCACATATAGTGTTTGACATTTATATGTCTTTCGTAAATTGCTTTACTATGTAAACCTTGAAAGGTCAATAAATACTGAAAATACATATAATACATGCAACACTTAAGATATAATGAATATAAAATAGAGCATAAATACTATGAAAGACACAAAAGTAGTAAATTGAAGTAGTATAGATACCTGTTATTGTGTGGAATATGTCTGCACAAAGAAATGTTTTTTTATTCCACCTCGAAACTGTAGGACACTTGGGTACATTCCGAGTCGACTCAGCTAGCACTAATGGTAGTGTTAAAAACAAACATGATTTATTAATTCAGTACCATTTGTAGCCATAAATAACTGGACATTATTTCTGTCCTGGCTCATCTTTATTTTTGGTCTGTTGTGTTTTTTCTTCCCTTCTGCAGTGACCATAGGCCGTGCCGCCCCAGACAACATACAGAAATTTGCCTCCCTTCCGACATATCTACCTGTGCGGTATCACATCTCCAGTGCTGAGACTTCATTTTTCCTCAAAGAAGCCAACCAGGAGTTCATGAGAAACTCAAGTCTGCAATCCCGGATGGAAACCTTCTTTACGTACAAAGCCAAGAAGACCCCTGTCATCAACGCTAGCTACGGGCCCTTCTCCGTGGAACACTCTGTGCCCCCAGACTTGCTCTTGACCACCAACATTTTCAGATCTGCCAACACATTTACCTTCAACTGGAAGCTGAAAGCCTACATCATGAACGAGAAAGTCTACCTGACCAGGCCCAAAGTCCAAGTTCTGTTTTACATTGTGGGAAGGGATTGGGACGACTACAGCACCACAGAACAGCTGCCGTGCATGCGGGTCTTTGCTTTCTGGGAAACAAGGGAAGTTCGGGGCAGCTGCAGGCTGAAGGGTGACCTGGGGTTATGTGTGGCTGACCTGGAGCTCCAGCCGGCCTGGTTTAACCCCCCAACAGTGGTTACTGGCCGCAAGAAAGCAGCCGATCATTCTGAAAGAAGCTCTGTGGAGCTTTACTATGCCATTCAGCCTGGGGATGAGAATGGAGAGTGTCCCACTGAAGACTTAAGGAAGGGTAATGCAATCCGTCCAGGGAAGGAGGGGGCAGGGGAAACAATGTCCCACTTACAAAGAATTGGTTCCATCACCCTCTACCAAACCCCGGAGAGCCCTCCACTGACAGAGCTGTGGTTGGACAGCAGCATCATCGTCCGGCTACCATCAAAACCCATCAGACAAGGAGAAGTGATGAGCACCTCAGTGGCAGTCCGAAACAACATCACGCTGGACCAGTTCATCCTGAGGTAGGACTGGCTCAAGTGCTTTCTCTGGGTGGCATCCCACATTAATCCTGTGTAGAGTAGATCTGCTGAAATTAATGAGACCATTGGCTCACATGCTTCTCATTCATTTCATGGCTCTACTCTGCATAAGGCTAACACTGGCTACCCGCCTCTATGCCTTCGTGTGCTGTTCTCTTCCAGTTGACCTATACAGCTTTCCAGGTGTCTGTTTTCTGCTGACTTAGGACCCTCTTCCAACCCCCAGGGGAGGGAGCTTAAGCCACAAATATTGGGCCAGAGCCTTTATCTCCATTTCTTTTAGTCAAACAATATTTCTGCTGTGAGAAAGGACAACTGTTCTTCTAGTGCCGTGGGTGACCGGAGGTCTCCCATAGGATTCTGCATGTGAACATGGAATGGCTCAGGTTCTCATGACTTAGGTAAATGCCAGGATGATGATAACAGGGTGGCTTAACAGCTTTTGGTGCAGATGTTCTCTGGAGAGTAAGACACGGGGCATCCTTTTTAAAAGAGAGTTGAAGGGCTATGGCAGTTATTGTTGATGTTGACCTCCACATGGTCAGAGGCAAGCCCAGCTTGTAGAGGGGGTGGCCTGAACAGTGGTACTAGAAGAATGCAGTGGTCAGACCAAAGTCACAAGAGTCCATTGCTGAAATGGGGACTTGAGACCAAGGCAAAGTCTGTAGAGAAAAAGGGTTAGCGAACTCCTCTGTTTAGCAGGCAAAGCTAGAAGGTCTTCTATTTGGTCCAGGTGTGGGCAAACCAAAGGCTTCCTGCTATCTTCCAATCACAGAGGCCATTGTTACTTACCACCAGTGGAACTCACATCTTGGGGTCACACTTTTACACAATGGTCGCCGCCAGCAGTAAGCACTCAGTGTGCGACCACACGACCGATCCCAAGCTGAGCAGTGCCCTCACAATCAGTGCCAACACACAAGCAACCCGCAGGCACTATGTTAATGATTTCTACCACCGATCTGCTATGCCCAACCGGGCGATTCACAATCACTTGGAAAAATCCATGAAAAAACGGTGCCGGAACACTGTTCAGGTGCGTTCTATGACAAAAAAAGCCCTGCTTATCACTACCAGCCCCTGCTTGACAAAGGCTCTTGCCTGAGTACACAGTCCCTGATCAGGGGCATTGCTAGAACCTGGGCCAACACTGCAGGGGCACAACTTTTCTAAGTCCGCAAAGGCTCTTTCAAGACTCTTTCCACCCCCATAACAGAAAACAGAAGTGAGTGTCAGAGCCCCCGTTCATCAGATTACTCTTCTATCACTTTCCATCTCAGGCTGAGTGGGGAAGCGAGCCTTTATCTCCCAAGCTTTTAAAAATATGAAGGTGAGAAGAGTGAAGAAAGCTGATCATCCTAGAAGCAGCTTTGGATCAGTTGAGGAGATAATCTGCAGGACACCTGTTCAATGAGCGGCATTTCTAAGCCTGCCAGCTCCAATCACTGCAGCAAACGTGTAAGCCACCCAGAGACTTTTAGTATTGGGATGGCATATAAAAACTTTCCATAAAATAAAAATAAACAAACCTTGTATGTATCCAACAAAGGGAACATATTTAGCACTGTGCAGCTCTTGCAGTGCTTTGCTAAATGGCCCGTCGCTCAATGAATTGTGGGGAGGACCCATAGGTCAGTGGTAGAGCAGATGATGTTCCCCAGAAGTGATTTCCTCCTTGCAACCAGTCTTTGAACTCTTTGGTTCCCATTTGGGATTTCTGCCATGACTTGTTGCGGGGAGTCATAGTTTAGAAACCAGACCAGCCTGATTAACTAACACTAAGTGTTTGCAAATGCTGGGAAGCAGCTTCAGGTGTTCCTGAACACCACAAATTACCAGAATTGTTTTAGTTTATTTATTTATTTTCAGGGTTTTATAGACCATTGCAGTAGTCAAATGGCTCTCTGGATGGTTTACAGCAATTAAAAACCATCAAACAAAACATAAACATCCAACAACAATAACAAATTCAATAAGTACAACATCCATTCCAATAGAAACATCCATTCCATCAGCAGGAGCACCAAGATGTTGACTTCATACAATAACCAGATTGGGCAACATCTTATATATAAGTAATGATTAATTTTTTTAAATTCATCAATTAAAATATCAACCTAAAATTAGAATGAAGACTACCAACAGTTAAAACACTCAGAAAATAAAAAAAGGCTTTGCCTGGTGCCAGAATGTGTGCAAAGATGCCTGGCAGACATCTCTGAATTGCTGAAAAACTTGCTTCACCAAATAGTAAAGAGGGAATTATCCCCGCTTCCTGGGGGTTTATCAGGGACACTGCCTGTTTTCTCGTCACTACTTGTCATTGTTCCTAATAGTCCCTCCTTTGGCCTTTTGGGATGTCCTCATCAAATACTTTGCCAAGTGTGAGTTGTCAGACCCACAGCTCTTCAGAGCAAGCCATCACGGTGGGCTGCACCCTAGCTCTTGAGCCTTTGGGGATGTGTGTGAATGTTATTGTGGATGTGTGTGAATGTGTACTGATGCAAGTGGTGTGTGACATGCAGAGCCCGCAAAGGAGAAGCTAACTTGGAATGGTGCATAACAGGAGATGTTCACAGGGGATCCATTCATAAGTCTTCTTCGTTTCCGTTCTCACTGATTTCTGCATTAGGGCTTTGTTTCAAAATCTGCACAGAAATGCTGTCACATTCGCTTTTCGGGGAGATGAGTGTACCCCTGCTATTTTGATAACTATGGACACAGTCCAGCAGGGATGTGCCTAAGTCTCTGGATGCATGGGTTAGAGGCATCCTATTCAGAGCAAGGACCACAGAGGCCCCGAAAATCAAGTAGATGGTCAGTTTTAGCCACCCAGAGACCAGGGCTTGTTTCTAATATTGGAGCTGAGGGTCTGAATTGCCTTCTGGATGCTGTTTAGAGGCTGTTGGGTGGACCTGGAAATTACCAGCTAAGTGAGATCTGTTTGTTTTCTTTGGAAGGGAAGTACCACCTCATGGTCTCCGTCCTGCTTGGACTACTTTTTGGCCTGCATCTCCCAGGATGCCTCACCATTAGCATTGCTGGCTGCTGACTTGCCCACAAGCTGCCCAGCCTGGTCTATATTTTCAGATTCTCTTTAGTCTATCAAATATGAGCAACAAGAACGCCTGGATAGGAATGCAGAATGTCCTTTGACAACAACAGCAAAAGATGCTTGTGTGCAGCAAGGCATGTAGGGAGGCAGACATTCTCTGAAGCAGTTACCTGGGTCTACCACTAGTCCTAATCAGAATATGATGGTCTTGATACAATTGAGAGCAGATGCAAAGGGAAATATGGGATTTTCTGACAGTGGGAATTAACTTTGGGCCATGCATTATGCCATCTATTGATTTATTTATAGCATTTCAAACATATATGCACTGCACTCTGGAGACAGATTCTGGAGCAGTGAACACTCAAACAGGAATAAAACACAATATTAAAACAGAATGTCAATACCAACTGTGGCTGGTCAACCAAAGAAGGTTTCCTGAAATGAACTTGTTTTCAGAAGGCACTGGAAACAGCCCAAGGTTGGCACCTGCCTGACCTCCAGAGTCAGGGAGTTCCCCAGAAATGGAGTTACTCTACTGACGCTCTACTCTGGGTGGACTCCAGTTGGGTCATTGGTCCTCACCGAGTGGGAAGGTGTGAGAGGGAGAATGCTCTTGATTTATATGGCGCTTTCAAAGGAATAGCACCCAAGAGCCAGTAGAGTGGAGTGGTTAAGAGCATGGCACTGGGACTCAGGCAATCCGGGTTCTAGTCCCTGCTCAGCCATGGACTTTGGGCCAATCACAGACTCTCAGCCCAACCCACCTCACAGAGTTGTTGTAGAGATAAGCTTGAGAGCAGCAGGAGGAGAATGATGTGAGTCTCTTGAGGAGGAACCGATAGCTCTCGAGTTGTCCACAACTAGCATGGGCACCCTGAAGCTTCCAGTTCCAGTCTAAGTAGGTCCTGATGGATATCGAGCACCTCAGCTGACAGTGGCATAAGTGCATAAACTTTAAGGAGTGCTCATCGGACCATCTTTCTAAGTTGACAAGCCCCACGTCCCACCACGCTTTGTCATCCTTCACCAATGGAGTGAGTCTGGAGGCATCTCTCCCCCTCTCCTCTCTTTTATTTATAGCTAATGATACAGCTAAGTTATGAGATGTTTGCTTTACATTTATCCTTTTCAAACAGAAGGAGATTTATGTAATGCCCTTATGGTCATTCATTACACAGAGATCTCGTATATCTGTGGTGTGATTACCCGAACTGGGGAAAGCTGATGGAAATCTTCTTGCATTGAGGAAAGCCTTCATTATTCAAAGCTTGATGTTCAGAGGAGCGGATGGAGGAGAGAGTGAGAAACTTCTGTGAAATATTACAGCTCCATCAAATGCTTTGGACTCAGTTCCAAATATGTCTTCTCAGAAGGTGCCAACCACAACTGGCCAGAGTCCCTGAAACTGGAGCAAAGGAGCAATGAGCAGTGAAAACCTCCAATCGTGCTAGACTTAAGGGAGAGCCAGGATGGCACAGTGGTTAAGGGTGCTGGACTGGGATGTAGGAGATCTGGGTTCTAGTCCTCATGCAGCCACAAAACGCACTGAGTGACTTTGGGCCAACCCCATTTTTGTTTTACCGGTGGGATAAACCATCTGGTTGGCTTGCATCCATTCCTGAGAGCACCAAACCCAGACCTTGTCTTTCGGGTTTCCAACCCAAGTTCTCCAACACCTGGCATCATGAATGCAACCATAAGGGAAGGAGACTTTAAATTCCAGGTGATGCCCTGATGTGGATAAACAGGGCAGGGTGTCATGTTTGATTTTGTCTAGAACTAACAAACAGCGGGCTAAAGCATTTAATGCAGAGAGCATGAGTATCACACGACTTAGCCATTAAATCTATTATCTTGATGCGGAAGGGAGCCAGAAGGACCAGATCTTAGTGTTGCTGAGCTGGATAAGCAGGCAGGAATGGTG